GAGGGCGATGTGGTTTTTGGGGTGCTGTTGGGTGTGAGGGTGCAGGGACGGGGGACGCAACTAGTCCCCAGCCCTGCAGCACAGCTGGTAGGGGCTGTCCGTGCCCTGCAATGGCGCAGCAGCAGAGCCACCAACTTGTCCCCGGTGGGACAAGTGACCATGCACCCCCGTGTCCCCCCATCAGACTCACACACGGTCCTGCAGCATGCACTGGGCACTTTATACACTGATTGTGGTTACTTTATTTTTGGCTACAGTTCTGGGGCAGGTTCTTCTGGCCACTCCACACAGGAGATGCGGAAATGGAGCTGTAATGGGGCTGGGGGAAGGCAGGGACAGCAGAGCCTGTCTGCAGCACACTGCCCAACTGCTCCTGAGCCCGTGGGCTTTGCCACAGGGCCCTGAGCTGCAACATGCTGCAGTGTGTGGGACTTCAGCTAATGTTTCTGGGGATTTGGGAAATGCAAGTATAATAGTCCATGTACCTCTGCAGGGATGGCTGTAGAGGTTCAAAACGAGATGGGATGAGGAGAGGGGGAACATGGGGGGTTGTTTTCATTATAGAATTTTAACATAGAATCACAGAATGGTCCAGGTTGGAAAGGATCTTAAGATCATCTGGTTCCAACCCCCTACCATGGGCAGGGACACCTCACACTAGACCATGTCGCCCAAGGCTCTGTCCAGCCTGGCCTTAAACACTGCCAGGAATGGAGCATTCACCACTTCTTTGGGCAACCTATTCCAGTGCCTCACCACCCTCATAGTAAAGAACTTCTTCCTTAGATCTAGCCTGAAGTTCCCCTGTTTCAGTTTAAACCCATCACCCTTGTCTTATTGCTACAGTCCCTGGTGAAGAGTCCCTCCCCAGCATCCTTGCAGGCCCCCTTCAGATCCTGGAAGGCTGCTCTGAGGTCTCCACACAGCTTCTCTTCTCCAGGCTGAACAGCCCCAATTTTCTCAGCCTGTCTTCATACGGGAGGTGCTTCAGCCCCTGATCATCTTCATGGCCTCCTCTAACCTGCTCCAACAGCAGGGTTAGATCTAAGGAAGAAGTTCTTTCCTGTGAGGGTGGTGAGGCACTGGCACAGGCTGCCCAAAGAAGTGGTGAATGCTCCATCCCTGGCAGTGTTCAAGGCCAGGTTGGACAGAGCCTTGGGCAACATGGTCTAGTGTGAGGTGTCCCTGCCTTTGGCAGGGGGTTGAAACTGGATGATCTTAAGGTCCTTTCCAACCTGAACCATTCTATGATTCTATGATCCCAGTTCCCTGCATGCCCCACACCACTGGGCTCATCCTGGCCCTGCTCCATGATAAAAATTGCCCAAGAAGCCACTGGTACCCCACCAAGGGGCACCCAGCCATGCTTCTAGCAGCTAGACCTCTCCATGCTCCCCAAACGCATGCTCCACTACCCCAGCACCCCAAAAAGGGGGCAGGAAAGCCCTCCCACCCTTGATTTGCCCAGGTTTTTCCTCTTTGTGCGATAAGGTTTAAAGGCAATATGAAGAGCTTTTATGTAAATTAAGTACAAAAACCTGTTTAAGAGTCCAGCAATTAGTACTGTTGCTGTTGAAGCCAAGATGATAAATCCACTCAGATGAAGCAGGAACAGCTGACAGGATAGCTTGTGTCAGTCAGAGCTGCAAAGTTGGAGCCTTTCTTCTTTTCCTGGACCATCACAGCAGTTTTCCCTCCCTCCAGTCACAGTACCAGGCGCACTCTTGCTCCTGTTGATTCCACAGGGGCAATGGTCCTACCAGCATGCTGCCAATAAGCAGGTAAGAGGGTCTTGCATCCTCTGTCCCAATAAATCCCGCCTGCTGAAGGGCAGGGAGGCTTGCCCTTCCCTTGGGAGCAGAGCTGCCAGAGGCTTCAGGCTCCTGTGGCAGGCTTTGGGCTTCTCATCCTGCTTGGGGAGCAGCTGTCCAGTGCAATGTGTCCTCCTCTCTGCTTGCAAAAGCTATACCCAGAGAGGTTTAATTGCAATCAACAGCTGTAAACAAAAGTAAGCCAACACCAAACCTACTTTTGAAATGCAGGAGATGTAACAGACTGAAAAAATTACCTCTGAAATTGTCCCCAGGCTATTTTTAGAGTTAACAGGTATCTACCCATTTTTTTGATGCCTTCAGTCTCCTTCTGATAAACAAACCCATTGCGTTTCCTTGCAGAAGAGTGGCCAGAAAGGAACAGGAAGGCTCTGTCAGTCCATGCCACTTGGATTAATTTGCATTAGGCTTTCTGCACTCTTCATTGCAATAGGAGGATTGCAGTTTAATAATCACTGTAATATTAAAGCACCAGCCTCCCCACACAGCTCCCTGCACCTGCTCCTGGATGCCAGAAACCCCAATAAAATGTCAGTGTTTCAGAAGGAATCCCTTGGGAAATTGGGTGTGAGAGGGGGGAAAAGCTCCTGCACTCACCCAGACAGCTCTGAAATGTGATAGATGCTCTTCTCCTTGGTGGGAACAGTGAGGGGCATCAGAAGAAACGTGTCAGCCAGACCCGCATGCACAAGGCGATGGCAGTGCTCATCCTCTGCAGGCACAGGGGCTGTAGAAGGGCTGGTATCAGGGTGGGACCAGCAGCATCCCTCCTCCCTTGGGTTACTCCCAAGGGCAATGTGCTGGAACTGTGGCCCCCTGTGCTCCTGTCTCTATAAGGAGCACTTCCCAGTAGTTGCTATGGCAAATGCTGGTTGCTGCCCTTGCAGATCAGTTCAGGAACAGGTTTTTCCCTGGACGCACATGGATCAAAGCAATTTTTTTGTCATACAGGCTAGTTATCAACAAGAATCACATACTAGTTTGGAAGGGACCTTAACACTCATTCAGTTCCAACCCCCTGCCACAGGCAGGGACACCTTGCACTGGACCAGGGTGCTCCAAGCCCCATCCAACCTGGCCTTGAAACACTTCCAGGGATGGGGCAGACACGGCTTCTCTGGGCAACCTGTGCCAGGGCCTCACCACCCTCACAGGGAAAAATTGTCCTTAAAATAATATTTAAAATACACCTTTTCCCTCTGAGGGAAAGCAGTGGCACCAAGGGACTGGCGCACTCACCCCTCTCTAACCTACCCATGAAGCTCCAGGCACCTATGCCGGGCTGAGCCTGGCACTCTCCTGCACAGCTCCTGCAAGTGTTTTCATTTGATGAAGTTCATTTAGGTGGCCCCATGCTTCAGTGAGCATTAATTACACCTCATTGTGCCTGGCTGCTGGGCAGCAGAATTCAAGCACTGTTTCTTGAATTCTGCAGATCCAAGGGCTGTCCCACTGGCAGTGGCACAAGCATTCGACTCATGCTCCCCTGCTACGGCTTGGCCCCAAAAAACAGCCCCAGTTTGGGGTACAGCATGCAGAACATGGCACACAAAGGAAGCATGTGCACCGATTTGGTTCTGCTCCACCCCATCACCAGTACCAAACCCTGACAAAACCATGCGGAGCAGCTGAGTTAGTGACACTCATTTTTCTCTTTCAGGGAAAGAAAAGGTTAAAACCCCACATGTAGAGCAGACAGGCAAGAGATTACACAACCAGGTTATAAAACAAAGCATGATAAGATTTTATTCTGGTGCCCCCATCCATCCCCGCATGTGGAGAACATGCCTCTGTGCAAAAGCATTTTGCCACTGCGTGAAGCAGATGTGTTCAATCAGCGGCTGCTCAGAAAGATGACGGGTGAAGAACCATGATTCCAATGGCAATAACCATTTGTACCATGATCAGATTTGGAAAGGCTCAGCAGTGCTGTCCGGCCTCATTATTGCTGCTCGACACTCTCAGGGCTCATGCTGGGAAGGGTTTTGCCAGTGTAAGCCCGCCTGGGCTCCTCTTAAGGCTTAACTGGTGAGGTTCAGTGCTACCATTTTCTGTATGTCCACAACACTGATTAAAACCTCCAAACGCACAAGTACTCCACAGGTAACACAATGAAGAAACAATTCCAGTCAGAACCACAGGGCAACCTGGGTGGGAAAAAACACTTCTGAAGGTACAAGTGGCTGTAACAGCATTTGTTGCCACATCACCACCCTCACTACAAAATAAACTCCTTTTCCCTTGCTCTGGCAGTGTCTTGTGAATGATAAAAGAAATCAGCAGTGATAACTGTTGGAAGAAACCGAGCGGTACTCGGGACAGGGGGCAAAGGATCCCCAGGGAGCAGGGGAACAGAGGGGGTCCCTCACTTTTTTTTAGGAATGCCACAGGGCCTGGGCAGAGGTATTTTAAACACAGATGTCGAAGCCATCCTTTGACGGACAGGAGGAGACTCACCCCTCCAGCTATCCAGGGAATAGAAGGAAAGACGACCAGAAGCAGGGCTGATAAAAGCCACCCTCCCCAAGCCCGCAACTCTTAACAAAAAATAATATATATACATATATTATTGCCAACAAAGAGTTTTAAGCCCCCCCTTGCACCACAGATAAGGGGAATCCGTTTGTTGGGCTTGGTCTTCTTGTGGATGGGAAGAGCTTGTTCGTAGGTGAAGGGGAAGGGGCAGACCTGGGTATCTGGTGTCTTGAGGTATGGTTAGAGGAAAAAAGTGCAGCAAAAAGGACATGCCAAAAAACATAAAACCAAAAAGGAAAAGACAAAAGCACTTAACAGATTGGCTCTGAACAGGTCTCTTGTATGAAAATGTTTGTCAGAAGAGTCATTAGTGAAAATAAGGTAAGAAAACATGTTTTCTGTAGAGGTACCTTTCTGCTCCTTTCATCAGCAGAAAACTAACCCAATGTCCACCAAGTGTTTTCTGTTCACTGCAGGAATACTCTTTGGAAAGCGCAAGTTATGTCATCCCAGCTCATGTCTCTGAGGATGCCATCCACTTTGTGGGGTGAAGAGAAGACCTTGAGCCCAACATGGCTACATGGAGCATCCCCGCATTCATCCAGGGAGGGGGGATGCAGGTCTCCCAAGGGGTCACCCCAAAATACACCCAGGCACTGGGTGTCTGCTGTGCCACATCCCCACCATGGCATCCTATCCGAAGCGGAACTTCAGACGGTACTTGATGGGTCCAAGGTTTTTCCGAGGTGGGGATGGGGCAACCTTCGGTTTTGGTGGCAGGAGCTTTTTCTCGGGGAGGGTGACGGTGAAGGCGAGCTCAGGGGGCTGGGGCTGCCAGAAGCGGGGTAGGAAGTGCGTGGAGACATGCTGGGGCCGAGCACGGGGACTGCAGCCGCGCTTGGCTTTGCCCCGCTTGTTGAGGGCCACGTACCACTGTCGCCCTGAGCGCGGGCTGCGGTGCACAGCCGAGGCATACGTGTTGTAGCTGTTCTCCTGGAAGCGCTCCCGAAACTGGCAGTCTGCTGTGAACTGGGCCTACAGGACAGAGCCAAGGCGCTGTTAGTAAAAGGGTGGTCAGACCCGTCCCCTGCCACGCAACATTCACTGGGTGTTTCAGTCTTCCCCAAAACAGGTCCTTTGGGGGACTTTGTGTTGAAAGCAGCAACACAGGGCACCTGGGAAACCCACTCCAACTCCACCGGACAATTTGGAAAACCACCAACACAGATACTTCTGGTAGCTGCTCACCACTCAGTTTTTGGACCTTTTGGAAAAAACAGGCTTGTCCTGCCCTAGCAGCACCCTTCCCTCCCGCTTCCTCCTGCCCTACTCGGCAGAGGGAGGATGTGGCTCCAGACCCCTCATGCTGCAGTCCCCCCAAGGACCCAAGGGTCGAGGCCCAGCTCCACCTCCATTCCCACCCTCACACCCCTTGCTTGAGCACTGGATCATCACTGAACAGTCTGGAAATGCAGTTTGCATGAAGATTGCCATTGCTTTACTGAACAGGGCTTTGATTGTATTGGATTTTCTTTTTCCTTCTTCATCTTAAATGAACTCAGGGTGTTTTGTCCCTTGATAACCACGAGGAACTACTTGCAGCCCAATAGTGCTGCCTCTTAAACTGGGCGGCTGCACTGGCTGCTGGACAATCAGGGAGAAAGATGTCCCACTGCCCAAGAAGACAGGCTGAATTCTGCCCTTGTGCTTGTCGGAGGGAAGGACTTAAAACAAAAAAAACAACCAAACCAACCAAAAGGCAGGCAGAAATACACAGATAGACCCCTGACACCCCAGGTATGTACTCACAGCTATGGAACACCTGGCTGCAGCACCCAGCAACCCCTCTGACATCCTCTGCCATGCTTGAAACTGATTGTACCTGTTGCCCTGACAGCTTCTCCAGCCCTGGGTACCGCAGCCTGACTGCAAAGCCATGCTTTGAAACTACCAATGGGAAAGGGATGCTGAGCTCTTGAGCTTTGAAACACCCAGCAATGGACAAGACAAAACCCCCAAACAGTGCTTTGTAAACATGCAGACAGCCCAACTGGCTGGGATAATTTTAAAATGCCTAATTTAACCAGAAAATTGTAGAATTGTAGTCCTACAATGCAAGTAGCAGAGTCCCCAGCCTGCTATGTGGGTATTTCTTTCCTCATAGCACTTTGAATTAAGTTTCCTTTTGCTCTTTGCATGAAAGAAACATCACCCCAAAGACTCATTTTTGCTTTCCCTGTCTGTTATCCTTGCTGCTGTATCACCCATGCAAGAGCATTCACCCTCCCGAGGTGAGCCCTTTGATGTCCTAGCACATGCTGTGGTGCTCAGGAGAGACACCTGTGTGTCATCCCTTGCATGGGGAGGTTTTAGGATTGACCAAAGTACCAGTGAAAGGGTGCTCACTGCAAAAGGCCTGAAGCAAGCGCTTTGAACAGTGAGAAACTGCAGGAGCAAGCTTTTCTGGTGCAGGAGATGCAGTTGGCTGCCCTGCCCCCTGCCCACAGCCAAGGATCTGATACCAAAATGGGTTCCAGTGGGCTTTGCAAATGCTGCTGTGAGTAGGGGAAGATGCTTGTGCCCCCACTCATCCATATCCCTGTAGAGATGGGTAAGCTGACCTCTGATTTGCTCATGGGAGGGCCAAATTGGTGTTCTCTATCTGGCCCAGCATGTCTGGGGCAATGCCACCCTGCAAAGGGAGATGGCAGTAAGAAGACTGCCCAGCTCCCCAGCCAGACCACTGCAGGAGAAGTTCCTGCTTAAAGTGCTTGGGGGGAACTTCATCAGGGACTGTAGCAATAGGTCAAGGGGTGATGGGTTTAAACTGAAAAAGCAGAAGTTCAGGTTAGATATAAGGAGGAAGTTCTTTCCTGTGAGGGCGGTTAGGCACGGGAACAGTCTGCCCAAAGAAGTGGTAAATGCTCCATCCCTGGCAGTGTTCAAGGCCAGGTTGGACAGAGCCTTGGGTGACATGGTCTAGTGTGAGGTGTCCCTGCCCATAGGAGGGGGTTGGAACTGGATGATCTTAAGGTCCTTTCCAACCCAAACCATTCTGCGAGTCTATGATTCTATAAACTGCTCCCTAAGAGGTAGAGAAGTATCCCATCCAAAGTGGGATTTGGAAAGGTGTGGGGGGATCCCAGCTCTGGGCACAGAGGGGTGCCAGACAGCAAACCACCCTGCAAACCACCCCAGGAAGATCATCAGCTGCTGCTTCATCATCATTCTGACAGGCTTCCACACATCCCAGCCTCCCAGCTCAGCAACCACACCATTTCCACTGGGGAAAAGGCATTTTTCCCAGTGCACTGGCTGCCCATTGGATTTGCTCTGCAGCAGCTCCAGAAACAATCACGAAGAGCAATCCTGAAGTCAATTCAATTTCAAAATCCAATTCAACAGCAATTAGCTCCAGAGAGGGCCACAGCATTCCATCAACTCAGAACAACTCCTGAGAAAGGAGAATTATCTGAGATCCCAGTGGGCAAATCTGTCCTCTGGGGCTCATGACAAGACTGACACCAAAACCCCTCCTGCCTGCCCCATACTAAAAACATACGGACAGGAGACCAAGGATTTATCAATGAGGAAAAAGCCATCTGTGCATGTAACTGGTAATTGCCGAGATTACTATCATTTTCTGAGTTTGGTTCTTCTAAAAAAGAAACACTTGGTAACTTAATTAAGTTGCCATCAAAAAAAAAAAAAAAAGGGAGGAGGAAAGCTGCCATAAAACGTGGAGCTGGGATAAAGCTGGGCCCTGAGAGCCCGATTTCCTGCAGGAATGACTTTTATCTGCAGTTCAACACAAAGTCACCGGCATAACTCCCATATCAAAGCACTGCTCTGAGTGACGGGCGCAGGACGCGCTTTGTACTGCTCAAAACTCATTAGGCCATGAAATAACTTTATCCTGCCAAGGCAGGAAAGAACAACAGATGCTGGGTTTACATTATCAGTGTTATTTAGCCCAGCAATCTTTAGACATTTGGGTCAAGTTTCTACAAATTTGTGGCTTTCATCCGAGCAGGGCATCGTGTGTCCTCAACCCCCACCCTGACCCACCTAATTGAGGTCCCTCTCTGGCTTTGCCCTTTGTGTGCTGATAATTAACCATACACTGACAAGGTTTTATTTGATTTCTGACTGTGCCAGGGCATAAATCAAGGCTTCAGCTCAAATAAGGGGCCTATTGTACACCACAAGGGAGAGAAGCTTCTGGAGGGTCTGGAGATCAAGCTCTGTCTGCTTTCTTCTCCTCTCCAGCCTTCACCTTTCCACTGTTCCCCAC